TAATGTAAAGCATCTTATAAGCTGAACACAAAATTCATTGATCTTTAATAAACTTCTAAAATTTCTTACAGATATGATTTTTGCGTAGTGCGGTAGAATTTTTAAAAATTGTAATTTCAATAACCAAAATTTATCATTTAAAAACGTAATAACTGCCGGAAGACTCATATGGCATGGAAGACCGTACGGTTGTGGCTCATGGCTGCCGGAAGACAAAACAGATATGTGGCATGGAAGGGAAAAATGTTGCGGCTTATGGCCGCCTGCCTTCCCCCACTCAACCAAGTTAAAGGTATGCAAATATGGCAATAAATCATCAGAAATCCTAGAATATTAGATCAGCTCATTATTATATCGGAACAGTTTAATCACTGCAAACATTTTTAAGACCTTCTGAAGATGTATGTAATGAAACCATTACAGCGCGGTGTTTCTGATATTCCTTTCCTCAATCTCCCTATACACAGAAAACGCATCAAGTTGGAAAATTATAAAATTTATTAAAACAGACGACCAAACACATAACAGAATGAATGACAACATACAGGGTGTCCCACGAAACATGACAGTATGCAGGACGACTTGAATGTCGTCTTGATTTTTGGTATAATTTGCTGCGTTTGTTTTTCAACCTAATTTTAGAAGTAAATTTCTAGAGAAAATAATCACAAAATTTCCCTTGTCCTGCCATTTCCAAAATGTGGTCTGCCTTTTTTGTGCTTTCAATATTGCCCGAGATATGAAGAATTTCGTTCAGATTTCGACAATTTTGCTTTTCTTGAACAAAATTGAAATCTGAACCAAACTCTTTATATCTCCAGTAATATTGAAAGCACAAAAAACGCAGACCACTTTTTGGAAATGCCAGGGCTAGGAGAATTATGTGATAGTTGTTTCAAGAATCATACATGTTAAAGTAGATAGAAGACTAAATGTCACAAATAAATTCAAATACCAAAGACGACTTTCAAGTCGTCTTGCTATTGTCATGTTTCGTGGGACACCCTGTATATTATTTCAGCAAATATCACTTAATATATTTTCAACTGAACTAGGACTAAGGTTTAACTAGAGGAAAACTGATAGAAATTTCTTGTTGGTTTCTGCTGTGGTTTAGCTAACTCACAGCACGTAGGTAGTTCTTTATACTTCACAGCCAGTTCAAACCTCATCACAGTAATTAACACTTCAACAGTATTTAGAGGACAAAACTTTACTACAGATCGATTATGTTTAATTTCAATTTTCAGGGGACATTAGTTCCAAAACTAACCTTGGCCCATTGAAAGATTGGATTTTTAGGATCCCAGCCCATATCGAGAGTGAAAGTCGATAACCAACATTTTGTTTAGCAGGACGAGGACAACAATTCCCAATTTAAAACTATTTTCTGGAATCAAAATTATAAAAAGAGTACTTTTATATTAAAACCCTTGACCATTTTCAAGACAATGTCAGGTTTTCCATTTTTGAACATCTCCTGAATTTGAATCATTGTCGCGTTATCGAGACAAAACCCACTTTCCCGTTTTTGAGTATAATCCTCAATTCAGAACTTACCAAATAAATCACTGAAAGTAAAAGTTATCTTACGAAGACTAAAATAACTGCTGAATTATTTCTAAAATCGTAATTTCCCTATTCTATTTGTTAAATGAGAGAATAAAGTTGATTTAATTTCAAGCATTCTAAATAAACAATTTCCCGGATTTCTAGTTAATTTTATATATAGTAAGAACAAAATAATATTAAATTTTGATTTCTCGATCAATGCTAAAATGATTTTCAAATTGTATTATATAAAATAACAAAAATTTTTGTTTTCTATTTTGTTTCTGTTTTACCTTATCAAAAAAATCTTGTTTTGTTTCATAATTGCGTAAATGCTTGAAAATTGACATTGATATGAATTCGAGTAATTGTCTCAAAACCAGGATATGTTCCGAAAACGCGACATGAGATGCGGTACTTGTTTCAAAATAGGGATATGTTCGAAAATTAAATCCAATATCATCAAAAACTAATTCTCTCACCCTATTATTAGTTTAAAGTGGAGATTTCTTGTTTAAATAATTAGTTTCAGCCATTTTAAGTAAAAGTATGGCGTAGTTTTGCTCAACTCGGCTTGGATTTAAAGATAAAAACGCTTGGAATAGATAACTTTGCAGATTTGGCCCATTTCTAAAACACAGTGCTAGAAATGGGCCAAGAGTTAATTTTGGAACTAATTTCCCCTGAATTTTCTGTGAAACAGAGACAAATATGAATGACTCCATGTTCCATGATGTGTACCAAATTGTAGTGGGATAGATAAATCCAATATATCCCATCTAGGAAATTCGACTAAATTCAGACAAGGGATAGTGGGGGGGGGGGGGGATATCTTGATTAGGTTTCATCTTCGTCACTCAGATCCTGCACAATACGCAGTCTTCTCTGCCTGAAAATATTTTAGGGTTAAAAATAATGCTATTTTGGAATTTTATATAAAAATATGCTTAAAGCAAATCCAGATTTTGGCAAGAAATACTAAAAACTTTTTTATTTAAGACGTATTTTCTAAATATTTTTTTTGCGCCTATTCTTTTACTTTTAATCTAAACAATATCTGAAAGAAAATGACTTTTAATGTACTGTCGAATTACCTAAATGATCCAATCTAACGCTCAGAAAAAGTTGAAAATTTGAATAAACAATAGTTTAAGTTTGATCAACACTGATGCACCATAACATAATCTTAATGTTTAAAGTGCGCCCATGACCGAAAATTTGCACTATTTAACAAGAAAATTGAAAAATAGAATTTTTAGAGGAAATCTGTAATGCTCAGGAGATGACAGTTAATATCGGAATCTTTCTCTTTCTGATTCTTCACACTATCCCAAACAATTTGTTTTGGGGCCCACAATGCGTAAAATGATGTTAAATTTCTTTGTATAATGTAAAGCATAAGCTGAACACAAAATTCATTGATCTTTAATAAACTTCTGAAATTTCTTACAGATATGATTTTTGCGTAGTGCGGTAGAATTTTTAAAAATTGTAATTTCAATAACCAAAATTTATCGTTTAAAAACGTAATAACTGCCGGAAGACTCATATGGCATGGAAGACCGTACGGTTGTGGCTCATGGCTGCCGGAAGACAAAACAGATATTCCACACCCGTTCTTATCTTATTCAGTAGTTTCCCGGATCGAGTATGGATATCTTTATTTTTATCATAATTCTCATTAACCCTTGCGAAATTAATAGTTTGAGACAGGACGGAGAGGTTCGAAGTCAGGAGATGATGGATCATGTTCAAGAAGGAAAAGATCAAGCTAATACAGAACAGGTGAAGGATAGAGTGGATCGAATCCTGAAAAATAATCCAGTGTTTGACGGACACAATGATTTTCCATCTGTCCTAACCAATCATTTTAACCTGTCCAGGTTACGGGAGAACTTAAACTCAGATGTAATCCTAGAGAATGATTTCAAGAGAAACAACAAATCTCAAACAGATCTTTATCGTCTTCGAGAAGGATGCGTGGGTGGTCAGGTTTGGTCAGCATACGTTCCTTGCTCCGCCCAGTTTTACGACGCGGTTGAAGTAGGTTTAACTCAGATAGATACTGTACATAGATTGATAGAAGAGTACCCGGAGGATCTGATGCTCGTAACTTCAACTCAGTCTATTGATGAAGCGTTAAATCTAGGAAAGATCGCTAGTATGGTTGGAGTGGAGGGAGGTCACGCTATTAACAGTAATCTAGCAGTTCTCAGATCATTCTATAGATTTGGAGTTAGATACCTTACACTAACACATCAATGCAACACTCCCTGGATAGATTCATCTGCTGTAGAACTCGGGATATTCCTTCCTCAAGTTTACGGATTATCAGAGTTTGGTGAACATGTGATCCTAGAGATGAACAGGATTGGTATGATGATTGATCTGTCTCATGTAGATACTGCAGCTATGAGACATGTATTGAGAACTACACAGGCTCCTGTTATCTTCTCACACTCCGGAGCTAGGGCTGTATTCGACCACCCACTGAATGTACCTGACGATGTTCTAGAGCTGGTTCGGGATAATGACGGTATTGTTATGGTTGTATTCAACTCGTGCTATCTTGTATCCAGGTGCACGGATAACAGGGGTACTATCAAGGATGTAGTTCGACACATTGATCATATTCGTAGAACAGCAGGAGTAGATCATGTAGGTCTAGGAGCAGGGTTTGACGGAGTTGATCAGGTTCCCGTCGGACTAGAGGATGTTTCCAAATATCCCAACCTACTCCAGGCTCTAATTAAGTATTCCGAGCACCACTGGACGGATGAAGATTTAATGAAACTTACAAGAAAGAACTTTCTACGAGTTTTTCAATCCGTTGAAATAGTTCGAGACAGGATGCTGTATACAGGAGAAACTGCTGATCATGTTGAAATACAGGATTTATAATACAAATGTAAATTTATAACATTAAATATACTTTTTTAAACTCATTTTTTAAAAATTTACCTTAGAGAGCTGATGAAGACGTTATTGGATGATTTCGATGTTCCTGGGAGCAAATCTTCTAAATTTCCCGTTATTCCTCCACTGCTGCTCCCACTAGCTTCCTCAGATCCACTCAAACTTCTGCTAGTTTCTCCACTAGAACTACTTCCTATCACACCCAATCCATTATCTCCGGAACTGTTATTATCTGAGGGTTCTGTCGAAGTTTCTCCTAGTTCAATCCGTCCAGCAGAGCTCCCATCATCACTCAGGGTTTGTATAATCTTGGACGGATCTAGACATAGGTTCAAGTTCTGCTCTTCTAATTCATCCCCATCTTCAGAACTAGTCGAAATAAATAAATAAAAATGGTAAATCATATAAGCTAAGTTTGAAATATCGAAGGTTTACATCATCAGGTTGCAAAGATATAAGGGATGGGAAAATTTGATTTTGTGGCAAAGACTCAATATCTTTATTAAAAATGTACAATATTCCAATACGATTTCATATCATATCATATCATATCATCACCGACAGGGTCGTACTCAGAAATTTTTCATGTAGGGACCTGAAAACCCCCAATTATTATTGTTATTATTAACAACCAACCTACAGCCAAAGTATCATGTCCTATAGGCTATGTTACGTTGATCTCCAGGGTCGAGCTCGAGGGTGGTTTATGAACCAAATTGTACGTCAAATGTGTGAGGGCCGGATGGGAGGGGGGACTGAGGGATAAAATACCAATTACTATATATACTAGCCTGCTATTCTGTGACAGTCGGACTATTCTTCTTGCATTCTCCAAGCTTCGGTTTACAGCACTCTCGTTCAGACGGCGTAGTCGCTTCCCTCTTCTCTTTGCAATCTTTACTAGGCGGGCTCGCTTCCGTTCAATCAGTTCCGCTATACGGTTCCGGGGCGGTTCACGGATATCTTCCGATGCAGGATACGAGCTCGGAATAGTTTCTAAATATAGAAAATATAAATGGAAGAATATGAAGGGAAAATTCGGAGGGAATCCAGACCCTGTCTGCCACATGTCTCTTAAACAAGTTATTAGAATGTTCATCCAAAAACTAGGTTTACGGCTTGAAAACATGAAATCTCCCTTACCTTTTCAACCCCCACTTTTTCGCCTACTAAACTACTCTGTCAAGGGATGTTACAGATGGCTTAAACTATAAAAAAGACTAGATTTTTGCAACAAGAACCTGATTTCAAGGGAAAGAAAATTGGAGGCTGAACTTGGGGTGATGCAGGGTATCAATTTTTAGGAAAGATGTTACCAGCTTACTAAAACAATAAAATCAGATGGTTTCACTACCAAGTTGTTTTCGGTACCCTAAAAACAATTGTATTATTAACCACTTTGTTCCAAACATTACTCCAACTTACACTTTCTGCAACATTTTTCCCAAACGGATATCCCATTTGTTATATGAATGCAACATAACAACTAAATAATATTTATGGTTTTTTCATAACCAAATGGGAAGAAATTTTGGTAATTCCAAGCAAGAAAGAATTTATTTTTGGAACTCTAAAGACATGTGGGACCCAGGTAACTTGTTTCATATTTGTCAAATATTACATATGGATTGCAAGATGCAGGAAATTTATTCCTATTATTATTTATTTATACCTAGGGTGGGCCAATTGAGAATTTATACGCTGAAATATGCTATATTTTGTTACTAGCTTGGGAACCAAGCGTTGCCCAAGGTACTCATAGTTGCTCCCGCCGCTTACCCGCACTTCGTCAATTTTCACCGGGAAACTAAATTTTCGCTATAAAAGTCGACCCACTCAATTCAAGAATATTACAACCCAAGCTAAGAACTTTCCTGTGCTCCCTCAAGTTTCCCAATAAAATTTGAGACAAATCGGTCCAGGGGTCTGTGAGTTATGATCGGACATACACTCAGAAAAACAGAGATTACAACTTTATATTTACACAATAAAGTCGGTTTTGTTGAAAAAAATCTAGTCAATTTATCTAGGCTATGTCGAAACAATAATTTATTTTACTTTCATTAATATTATAATAAAGAGAGAAACAAGCGAAAAGCAGCAGTTAAGAAAAATAATGAATAAGTTCGGTCCAAAGTCGTCATGAGAAGGTACAAATGTCTTTACTAATGAATTCTGACTGACTACTGACTACTGACTACCGACTACTGACTACTAACTACTGACTTCTAACTACTGACTACTGACTACTGACTACTGACTACTGACTACTGACTACTAACTACTAACTACTAACTACTAACTGCTAACTACTAACTACTAACTACTAACTACTAACTACTAACTACTAACTACTAACTACTAACTACTAACTACTAACCACTAACCACTAACCACTAACTACTAACTACTGACTACTACTAACTACTAACTACTGACTACTGACTACTGACTAGTGACTAGTGACTACTGAATACTGACTACTGACTACTCACTTCTGACTACTGACTACTGACTACTGACTACTGACTACTGACTACTGACTACTGACTTCTGACTACTGACTACTGACTACTGACTACTACCTGCTGAGGTGTCCAAGGTTGAAGAATCTAGAATACTTGTATCTGTAGAATCATGTGAACTGTTTAAAGGATCTCCAACTGAACATATCTTAGTTATAATTTAATATCGCCCAACCTATTTTGAAAAAAAACCCGCCAGTTTAAAATTAGCATCCGAGTTTGGTTGAAAAAACCGAAACGTAAATAATTAAAAATCAGTTCGAGGCAGATTCGGATCCAGCTAATAAATATTTCTTCAGGGCAAAATTTTTTCTTCTTCTGGTTTTTTTGTCGCTATTATTGAGAGGAGTTCTACTGATTTCTTATTAATAAACAGATAAGGTTTGGGTATGAGAAAATAAGATTTGTTCTTCTGGTATTTTTGGTCGATATTTTTCAGCTTGAATCTAGATCCATGGATCCTAATTTATTTGTGGATCCGTATCTAGGGCACCAAAATCCGGAATCACTGTTGCTTGTTAGTGACTATTCCATTTAATCCGATATTAAAATATCCCCGACTAGAGGATGGTTACCTGTATTCCTGGCCTCAGCTATAGATCTATCCTCCCTCACTAGATCATCAGCTATACTCACAGATATCCGTTCCATCAATCGTCTTCTCCTACTACCGAAGGAGTTTGCTCGCGGCGAGAAATCAGAGAACCCAGTCTCAGAGGTTTCACTGTTATTACTATCTGCACTTGGAGGACTTTGAGACTCCGTATCATCCTGACTGTCCCAACCCTCGATCTCTCTCTGGATTAAACTGTCAAAGAATGCCATCATCCTCGGGTTCTCCGTGGTTGTTTGAGACTGTGAGAACTCGGTAGGTACTATCGTTTCGGATCTGAGGACTAGTCCAATATAGTCTTCATGAGTATAAACTGCTCTTTTCTCTCCCATCTTCTTATCCTCTCCTTGAGGAAAGGAGTTAACGGACCAGAACTTAACAATCTTCTCTACCCCTGATGATGCTATAACAGAACGTTGTGAATTATACCGAACCTGGTTTACTATTGATCTATGCCCCTGGAGAACTAGGTGAGCTCGATCCTGCCAACTAGTCTCGTCTCCATCATCGGGTATTCTCCACATATAAAGATTAAAATCATCTGAACCTGACAATACGAACTCATCATTAGGTCCACCAAAACTACAACTTTTCATCGTACAGCTGTTGTAGTATCCAGGATTATCAAACTCGCAAACCGGAACCGGACTCTCTATATTAAACAGTATCGGAGGCATTCTTCGTCTTAATCCGATGAGTTTATTTCCGGCGTCATTAAATCTGACATGCATACTAGATCTAGATTCGTACTTTAGCGCACAACTCCTTGGGTTGCGGATATCCCAGAGACCAATTCCATGCTTCTGGTTTGCAGCTACAAGAAGCCTTGGTTCTACGGAGTTAAATTGAACAGAATGAAATGCATGTGAGAATCCAGCAATCATCAATGGATCCTCACTAGGGTTCTGTCTCATATCAAAGAGGAGAACTCTACCATCAGAGCAGGCTGTAGCGAACAGGTCCGGGTTCTCCGGGTGCACTGAGAGACTGTAGACCGGTTCCTCGTGTAGAAAGTAGTCTAGAGGTTGGAGGGTTTCTATATCATGAACTATAACCTGCTCGTCGTTTCCTCCACTATAAACTCTTCTTCCATCATTATCAAACCCCAGGCAGAATATATTGGACCTAGACAGAACAAAATACAGATAATAATACTTCATTCATTGTTTTCAATTTAGAATAAAAAATTGAATTTGTGAAATTTATATTGAATAAAATATCGCAAGATTAGTATAAAAGACTCCTCCAAAACCATAAAAATAATTCGAAATATCCCATCAATAAACATACTGAAAACGTTATAATTATTAGTAAAGCCAAGAGAAAAATATCAAAACATTGAAAATGCACAAGATCTGCTTCCAGTAATGTTTAAAAACATGTTTACACCTTAAAATTTACAGTTTGATTTGGTTATAAAAGTACCGCTTTACAGCAGTGTGTGCCAATTAATCAATAAGGAAAATGATCTAGGAGGTACCCTGTATAGTGTATACTTAAGTTTGTTTAGTCTACGGAATGATGGTTAACCATTTTTTATTTGTTTATAGTGTATAATTATATTTAACAGCAAGTGTAGATGAATGGTAATGGTAAGTTTACATTTTTTCGTTTTAGAGGGGGGGGGGGGTTAGTACCCGTTGGGGCTCAAAAAAAACCCCGGAAACTATATATTTCACTGAACCAGGGGAAGGCTGAACTCCATAGCCCCCTGAATATGCCTATGATGAATTTATCTAACCTGTGTTCCGCATCCATAACAGACTTATATCCACCATCGTTTAATGCTTGATCCATATTCCAAACCAGAATACGTCTAGATTCAACAGAAATCTTCAAAATATTATTCTTTAAAAATTCTTTTACTTTAGGAATGTGTTAAAAAGGGGTGGTGCGTGGGGGCTTTGTGTTTAACCGGGGTAAAATAAAGATAAAAAAGGAGTAGAAAAATATAAAAAAAACAGCCGAAATAAAAAGATCTTTATTTCTAAATTTGAGCTTTTATTTGTACTCTGAAATTTACTTCGTATTTTGAATTTCGTAGGGGTAATGTAGTATTTGAGATGTAATGTTCCTGTCGTCTCCACCCGAAACCATCCAGTTTCCATCCCTGCTGAACTCTACAGCGTTCACGCAACCATAGTGACTAAATATATAGTTAAGATTTAATCACCCTTAATAATAAACAATTATAATTTTACAAATTCAACGAGAATTATAGTGTAGAGAATTTTAATATTAAAACTATAACTCCGCTGTAGTTGTTCTTTTATTACATTTTAACTATTCCACTGTTCTTCTACCTTCCTCCAATGTTAATATTAAAACTATAACTCCGCTGTAGTTGTTCTTTTATTACATTTTAACTATTCCACTGTTCTTCTACATTCCTCCAATTTTAAACATCTATTCTACTCAACTCATCCTCACCTTTACTCTACTCCTCTACTTATTGTTTTTAATTATACTCCACTCCTCCACCTATTGTTATCCATTCTGCTCCACTCCTCCACTTTTTGTCATCAATTGTACTCCACTCCTCCACTTTTTCTTACAAACGATACTCAACTCCTCCACTTATTGTTGTAATTGCACTCCACTCCTCCACTTATTGTTATCAATTGTTCTCCACTCCTCCATTTATTGTTGTAATTGTACTCCACTTCTCCACTTATTGCTATCAAATGTTCTCCACTCCTCCATTTATTGTTATCAATTGTACTCCACTCCTCCACTTATTGCTATCAATTGTACTCCACTCCTCCACTTATTGCTATCAATTGTACTCCACTCCTCCACTTATTGCTATCAATTGTACTCCACTCCTCCACTCCTCCACTTATTGTTATCAAATGTACTCCTACACGTAAAGTTATCAATTCTACTGTGTTATCTATTATTCTACACTTATTATTGTCAATTCTACTCCATGCCTCCCTTTACTGTTATCTGAATTCTCCTTCTCTGAATATTGCTAACAACAATAAGATTTGCATAAAGCTTGAATCATTACCTAAGAAGATCACATGAGTCGAGACGGGTTGCGTTTCTCCATTTCTCCTTCAGATATAATTCTCGGAGATTCATCCTAGATCCAGTCCTCTCCCTATCCATCAAATTTACAAGGTTCGGAGCGTGAGACGTCATGTTTTGTTCCTAAACGTTGTAGTCTAGGCTTCCCTGTTAAAAATTACCATTGTTCTGAGAGCATTTCTATCTGAAATATAGGGATTTATAAAAGCATAAACTAGAATAGATTTATTTATAATACTTGCAAATAATTCAATAAGAAGCAAATATAAGCAAATATACACGTAAACAAGACTTGAAATTTTAAATAACAACGAACATATACTTTGGTCCAATCAAGAGAAGAAACTCCACCGATAATGTTGGATAGTTATACGGGTATAATTTCTTAATATAATTTTAGATTCAAGAGTAAAAAATTTATAACAAATAACACATTTTAACATGACTACTAATTTATTTTGACTAGACATGAATACTTAGAATGGTTTAAAGCCAATTTAAGTAGATTACAGTGTGAATTGCACATCTGATTTTTATCAGTTATTGGAAAGATGCAGAGTGTCTAAGACAACAATCTAGGCTCTGGTCATTTAGAGAATTTTTATCACATACTGTAGTTCACAGTATACAATAACATATGCACTTTACACAGTGCAACCTTGATTTACCACGTATTTAACTAGTGAACATTTCGTGATATAATTTCATCTTGGAAGCACTCTTCAGCTGGTAATGATCTCGAGTAAATTACTCGGCAATGCTATGGACGAAATGTCTTCTTCCAGTTAAGTACATCATGGCCTAAAAACAAACAGAATATTTAAAATTTTTCTTCCTTTTTCGTACTTTAATCCAACTGAAGTCTGAATAGTTTATTTACCTCGTGATAAGTTTTAGGAATAATCTGAGCCGGGTTCTGATCCCGTAGTTCAAATGTGAACTGGAATACATTAGTTACAGACATCTCTCCAGACTTAGGATCCCACACCTTAGGATTATATTTATTATATTTAGGGAGGTTATTTATAGTTTGACATTAAGTAATATCCCCTTTGTATGCTTATCCCCCCCCCCTTCCGAACAATGAAGACGGCGCGGTGAAAATAATTACTTTTCAATAACTTAAATATAAAATATTTGGCAAAACTGATTTAAGTTTCGTCTTTGACATTGAATTTATTTGTGACATTTTAAAATTTATGATTCTTAAAAAAAATCACAAAATTCTCCTAGTCCTGGCATTTTCAATACGTGGTCTGCATTGTTTGTGCTGTCAATTACCGGAGATATTAATAATTTCGTTCAGATTTTAATTTAATTTAAAAAATAAACGAAAATAGTCGAAATCTGAACGAAATTCTTCATATCTTCGGTAATATTGAAAGCACAAAAAATGCAGACAACATTAAAGAAATTCCACGATTTGAGGTTAGTTTATGATTATTAACTCTAAAATTTTACTGGTTGCAAAAAATGTCAAATATCAAAGACGACCTTCAAATCGTGTTGCTACTGTCATGTTTCGTGGGACACCCTATATATTCCGCCCCCATTGCTCTTCAAATTCCATGAAAATAAATGCAATTCAAGGGGAAAAGAGCGTTATCAAAAGTCCTTTGTAGCAGGCTTAACAAATTTTTAATATTATTACCCTTCTCCTGACTAAGGGACGATAAATATTTTTCATTAATTGTTAGTTAACTCATTTATTCAATCAAAGTTTCAAAATAAAAATATTTCACCTCAGCAGAAACCCTGGTCTGAACAAACTGTTCTGAAGTATAGCAGATCTGAGAGTTAAAATAAAGCATGGATCCGACCTCAACGGGTTTCCTGAACCAGATATCATCAACATGAACAATATAGGGCCGACAGTGCCCGTACACGTGAGTGTTGGCCCAAGCCAACTCGAACGCCTGCCGCATGATGAAACCTCCAAATATCTTGTTAAACCTGTTCCTATACTCTAGCTGGCAGATAATCAGGTTCTTTAGCTTAGCGTCCTCCATCCAAACCGTGTTCACAGGCTTCACTCTAGCCTTGAAGCTCATTGCCTTATGATCTACAGTTCGGATAAATATATCATGAATGATCTCCATCTCAGCTACGGTTGGTGGAACACGGAACAAGGAATCCTGCGACATCTGGAATCTCCTATATTAAAAAAAACATAAAAAGTGTATTTTAACAAAAACTGTTAAGCAACTAAAAAAAAGAATGACACAATTAAAGGGACTATACGCGTAAATCTAAATGATTTCTCATGCAAAGACGACAATGCCCGATCCACAACGGTACCCTTGAAACCTTTATCTGATCAAAAATGTGGAAAATATTGTCGCTTTTCTGGGTTTATCGCTTTTCTGGGTTTATAAGTGTTCAATTCTGGTAATTACTATATGTTGTCCTACAAGTGACTTCGGTAAGAAACCGCTAAAGAAAATAATACTTTTTCAAAATTACAAACATTGATATCTAATTCAAACTTTATCAGAAAAAGCTTTAAAGGGAACCGTTGTTAATTGTGGCATTGTCATCTTTACAGGGCGGGTCACGCTAACAATCCATTTAAAAGTGGAAAAAATGAAAAAGATCTGATTAATCTTGTTTTCTCAGTTCCAACCTGATCTTATTCTCCTCTCCCTTGTTGAATAAAACCTTCTCCTCCTCTGTAACAGCTTCCAGTGGATTGATAAAGGCACTTCCTCTGAACAATTTAGAATTTATTTGTTTTTAACAAAACACAGGGAGGGAGGGAAGGGGGGGGGCTGTTCCAAATTGAGGACATTAAATAACACTGAAGATAAAGCTTACGCCAAATCACGGTATCGACTTTTTCACCTCTAAATTATGATTTCAGTGAATATACTCATCTCCACAACTCATCCAAGAATTACAGAATACAGGCTCCTTCTGATGTCTGGGGAAACTACACTTGTTTCACCTGCTCACATACTCCTCACTCCTGTAAGATAGGTGTCAGGTACCCAGTAATTGTATCATCTTCAATCCTTAATGGATGGCAAGGAATGAGATCATTCAACAGTTATCAAGGTGATCCTATACATATTGATTATATAACCATACCCGGAGCCACTGTGAAGGATTTGCATCATGCCTTCCTAGCCGAATATGGAAATGTACACCGTCCTATTGATGTTCTCCTGGTAGCTGGACTCAATGATGTACTAAAAGGAGCAACAGTTCAACAAATCATGCAGGATATAGAGGATTTTAAAGAATCTGTCATGAGTCTATGCGTTCTTGATGAGACCTGGAGCAGCTTTGCCGTTGCACCCTTGCCTTTTCCTCCTAAACTAGTCAAGTTTGATGCTGAAACCAGGAATCTCCAGTCAAATTATATCCAGGTTCTGATAGATCTTACGACTAATATAAGAGAACTGAACAGAGCAGATGCACATCCCATGATCCCAACTAATCTAGCTCCGTGCTTCCATACCTGGGGAATGCGGATAAACAGACATCCAAGGATCATCGGACCGGTCAATCTACTGGAGCATGTCTCTACTCATAGATTGACTCTTTGGAGAGAACTGAAACCAAAGATAATATATATATAGATATGCAGGCAGGTATAAATTTTGAGGTCTTGAGAAAAGGTGCAAACAGCACCATCTCTGTCGTACGCATGGCATTTCATCCTCTGGATTGTTGCTAATTTATCACTTTGTTTATGCGTGATAACACTAAATGCGTACTATAGTATCAACAATGTATACTGCATATTGTACTTAATGAAACAAGTTAATCAATGCAAATAAAACTGAGGTAGGAATTTGACTAGACAAAGTTTAAATGTGCAAGTTGTACTGAATGGCATACGTAAATTATCGCAATTTAAATAAAAATTATGACTATAAAAGTACATCGAGTCTAGGACAAATTACAACTGATCTGATCATAACATAAACAAAACGCGTACTGTATGTTTGTGTTACCTTGAAATTTAATTTTATTGGTCAAACAGGTCCAGATAGCAACACTTGAACTATACAGGATGCAATACGCGTACTATATGATTATATAACACAAATGCGTATTTCCTACAGATGGCAGCAAGGGGAGAAAGGAATATAGAAAGTAATCAATTTGCTATCTTTGACTGAAACCCAAGGATATGCTCCACCTGAATGATCATCTCAGGCTTAAGATAGGTAAATCTGCGATTGAATACTTCAAAGTGATCTACAAAATCTCTGAGTGCAAGGCTATGAGCAAGAACGAAGCTATAGCTCTAAGATCAACCTAGAGAAATAAACTCAAAAACTCAAATATTCAACCTTCTAACGTGATAAAAGCGAAGCAACGAAAAGTCTCAACTTATATAATTTCTAATGTATTTATTTCTTCTTTTCACAGAATGAAAAGTCTATTTTTAACATTAGAAATATTTGAAATTTATAATTAAATTCTAATGCCAATTTAAATACTGTTATAATCGCAAATCTGTAGTATTCCGATGCCAGTCTATATATCTCCTCATAATCTAATAATACCAAATACTCTTCAAGTATATATCTTCATAGGTTGAACTGAATCAATCTGTAGTATTCCGATGCCAGTCTATATATCTCCTCATAATCTAATAATACTAAATACTCTTCAAGTATATATCTTCATAGGTTGAACTGTTTCTCATAATTATAAACCGTCAGATATTTACGAGATTGATTTTGATGTTCTGATCCAATATTTATTTATTTTGTTGCACTTCTCCTAAAAAAAATTATATATAAAAAACGGATCAGCACTATTTTCTCCTTTGTTTTATTGACTTGTTTCCTTTTGAATTTAAGATCCAAGATTTAGTTATTTTGTTGCATTTCTCCTTTAAAATGAAGATAAAAACACAGATCTGCATTATTTTCTCGTTTTTTCTAGTTTGTATTTTCATATTTCTTTTTGATTTTGTCTTCATTTGTGTTTTCTCTCTTGTAAAGTACGAAAAGTACTTTACAAAGTCTAAATTTTGTGTCAAGATTGCTGCTCAATACTAATTATGTCTTTCATAACAGAGCTGTCGATACTTTAGATTGTAGAGGATATAAAATCCCCGAAAGAGGATTATGAAATCCGCAAATCAGTCGTGTCGGACCCTGGAACCGGAGAAGACCTTCTCAACTTCCTCTCCTTTCTTCCAGGCTCCAGACTTTATCACTAGCTGCCCAGATCCAACATCATGGTCTACCCCGCTATCTGAGATCCAGACCGTGATAGCTCCTCCTGGAGCAACCTTGTGGTTCCTGGTTAACTTGAATGTGGATTCTACTCCAGCACTCTGGCACTTGAGAATATGTCCATCTAGAGCTTGTCCTAATCCTCCGAGCACACCCAGGAGCTAGGAAACACTTTCAACCAGGGCATGGACAAGGTTCACCTCAAATGCTGGATCTACTAGAGCAGCCCTATAATATTCTTCACAAGGATCATCCTTCCCATTAAACAACCCGGAGAAGAAATCAGTGATTGAATCTGCCAACTCCAACTCCACGATTCTCCAACCTACAATTCTTCATATTTGGTCCATGTTTGGCCAATATTGCTTCCTTTTTGGCCACCGCCTTCCAGTACTCCCCCAGCCAGGTGTGCATGATGCAGTAGCAGAACATTACAACAAGTATTAAACGCTTCTTTGCTCCCAGAAACATAGGGAGCAACACTACGCAAAGTATCAACAGCGAAATGGCGAGTAGTGCTATAGATGGTTTAATTCTATTTACTCCAAGAGAACTAAGAACATGAAGACCTCGTCCAACTAATCCATCCTCGACACGAGATAGAGATTTCAGGAGAATATTCTGAACTTCTGCAAACTTGATATCATCGTGCAGGATAAATCTTCTCAAGGTTTGCAATTCTTGAGCTGAGGTTGAGAACTCAAGACTCCGAGACGGAACTACTCCGGAATGGGTTTCTAACTCTAGGATCCTTAACATCTCGCTCACAAAGGGTTTAAAGGGACGCTCCGGAGGATTAGCTAAACAGGTTCCTAGACTTCCCAATCCGGAAATAGCCTGGCCAATAACAGATTTGGAAGACAACTCCAATTTACTTTGACAGGTTTCAAGCTGTATTCTAGTTTTCTCGCGTGCAATCTCCAAGTTTCTAATCATCTCTGTATCCGAAATCTCCCCTTCTCAACTTCCTCTCCTTTCATACACTCTTTATTAAATATGTATTTATATCAAGAAGCAATAAATGTACTTCTAAAAGATCTCAATTTTATATATTCCTGAGCAAGTAGAGAGTATATAGCGAAAAGCCTTTAGTTAACCCTGTGATTTTTTTTTATAAAAAGATATTTACGTTATATTTTTTCAATAAAAGTTTGAAGAAGAAATGATTTCAGTGAAAAACAGCAAGAGGATTGTGTATGCAAATACCAAAACCAGTTTAGTATTAATTAATAAGCGATTTCACGCACGATGGATCAACTAATTTAATTAGGAAATTTCTAAAACATGTGGTACAATTTTAAAACTGGTGTAGAAATGTAAATTTTGCTCAGAATGAGAAGAGAATTGAGGTTGGAACTTTTGTGTGGAGTATTGTTAATCTTGAATAAGTGGACGTGCTTACTTTTTGAGGATAAATTTCTTGATCCCTGCAGGGTATGATCACCACGGGATTTTAAAGAGAACTTAAATTTATCCCTCTTCGTCATCCCCTAGTGGGCAAAAAGATTAACGATACTCCAAAGAAAAGTTTCGACCTGTGGCTAGTTAAAGGGACTGTAAAGGAAAAATGAAAGGGGGTATAGGCTGAAAGCTAATCACTTTAGCTCTTGGTCGCGACCCATGAAAGTTATATCTGATGTTCCTATCTCGAGAAATTGATTTATAACTGTCAAATTTATACGAAAATTAATATATATACAATTTTGTATAAAAGTAGTGGGTTTAAAAAGATCAAATTCAGCAACTAAGCAACCAATCTGAAAGCGATGATATCCCAGAGAAAGCTAAATGTAACTTAGGTTTACTCCAATTCTAATTTTATATTTGTTATTTCTATTTTTTATAGATTTAATTCATAATATTAATTATATGTCTGTATTGCTTGACCAGAAATTCCATCAATGTCAGTGCAGTAAAGTGGTCACGTGATACAGGCTGAGACACGTGACCAGTATACTGCTCTGCCATTGGTGATAGTTCTGGTAATGTGATTTAAGTTTAAGATTTTCTAAATTTTAAATAAAAACTTTAATGGGTCACAATCAAGAGCTAAAGTGATTAGCATTCAGCCTATACCCATTTCATTTTTCCTTTACAGTCCTTTAAAAACTAGATCGAACCTGTTGAGAGGATCCCTGGCAACAAGGACGAATCTAGCCTCCGTAACCTTAGTCCACTCCCCATCCCTCTTCTGCTCCAGGTACAGGGTAGACTCAGCTGAACTCTTACCAACCCAGGTCACGTGACCTTTAAATAAAACATTGAAGAAAAAACTTATTTGAAAAATATTGATAGGATTAAATTACACTTTTTAATAAACATAACAAATCAATCAACCTTGCGGTTGTGTGTTAATACAGTCTGTTATTTTACCTTCATAATTTCCATATATCTTGAATATAAACTAAATTCAATCCAGATGGAATATACTAGAACCCATATAAACTTGGATAAGTGGCAGAGCTCAGACCTGCTCTCCTTTATTTTTATAACCTGAAGGTCCTGGTACTTTGTCTGTAAGTTTATTTCTTAAAGGGAATGTTCGTGAAAAATGAAAGGGGTTAAAGGTTGACGTCGAATAGAATTTGTTTATTAAAGTGATCCCAGATAATAGTCTCGTACCACCACCTGTTCTTCCTGAAATCATCGAAACAGGAATGAATGTTTTCAAAAGTTACTCCCAGATCATAAAAAATCATAAATAAAATGAAATATCAACTATACAAGAATACATCGAATTGAAATCGGCAGTTGCAGGTTGTAATATCTATATGAGTGGTTTTAAAGTTGATTGAATTATTTACAATCTAAGTGGAAAAATGCAACAACCTGAAATTGTATGGACGCTACGTTCTTTGGTTTTAAAACATTTTCTCCCCCATAGACGCAACAGATAGAAGTAAAATTGGTAGTGATCAAGATCGAATTACAATTTATATAAGCCCATAACCCCTTTAATTTTTCGCGAACACTCCCATTAAAGTAATATCTAAATATCACGGCGAGAACGGAAAGGTTTCTAATATCCGATGGATCCACTACATTTTAGCTCCAACTTTTAGGAAAAACAATTTGAAAATTCTTCTTGACCTGGATCCGGGTCCATTTTTTCCAGGACGGATCCAGGATCCGAATCCCGATTCGCATCAATATGAAATAGATACCACTGTTACAAACCTGACATTCTGATATCAGAGTCTGAATGTATTTTCCCCTTGAAATCAATCTTGTCCACCAGAGCAGTTACAATGGAGAATGGACTAGCTGATCCAGGTTTCTGTCTAGGGTTCAGAACATGTTTGAAAACTAGAAACATGCCTCATTCTTTTCACAAATTAAAATATAACAAAAAGATGTATTTTCATCAAAAAAAATGTAATAACTTATTTCTACAAAAATATACATTAAATGAAGATTTTTTATCTTAACGGTAACAACCACGAAATAAGAAGAAAAGTGGATTTACATTAGCATATTCTGTTATTTGAGTCTCCGGATTGAACTTGGATTAAGATCCAATTTTTTCTAGGACGGGGCCAAGATACGAATCCACACCAACCTCTGTACTATTTGGTGTTAATGTATGAAAAGAATGAGTACTATTTGGTGTTAATGTATGAAAAGAATGAATATGTTAAACCTAAATGAACTGCAAAAACATCCATATCCTCTAGAAGACGACCAATACGTACTCCTCCGTATATAGTTGAATATCTATAACAGATAATTTATTCATCAAAATATAACTATATCTTATCTTAAAACTATATATCCTATCCTAGATACTAGGACGGTATCCAACCTATCCTAGATACTATGACTGTATCCTACCTGTCCTAGATACTATGACTGTATCCTACCTATCCTAGATACTAGAACGGTTTCATACCTATCCTAGATACAAGGACTGTAACTATCCCCTAGATATTAGGACTGTATTCTAACTATCCTAAAAACTAGGACTGTATCCTGTCTATCCAAGATATTATGACTGTATCCTACTTATCCTAGATACTAGGACTGTATCCTACCTATCCTAGATACTATGACTGTATCCTACCTATCCTAGATACTATGACTGTATCCTACCTATCCTAGATACTAGAACTGTTTCATACCTATCCTAGATACTAGGTCTGTATCCTATAAATCCTAGATACTAGTACTGTATCCTACCTATCCCAGATACTAGTACTGTATTCTACCTATCCTAGATACTAGTACTGTATCCTACCTATCCTAGATACTAGTACGGTATCCTACCTATCCTAGATCCTAGGACTGTATCCTACCTATCTCTAAGAACCGGGTTGGATCCGAGTGGTATGATTGCTGCATCGTAACTATCCATCATTCTCCTAATAACGAAAAATAATTCAATGCAAAATAAAATAGATGAATTTTTCTTGCATTAATTTGGGCTCTCTGAACTGTTTACCTCTTAGGAAGTTCTTCCTGTGTCTCTGGAAGTACATGGATTAATTCTTCTCTCATCTTATTATATAGTTCAGGATCATAGTTTTTAGGTCCTCCTATCACATCCTAGTCAATACATTTCATTTTCCTCTAAACAAAAATATGAGGGAAAAAATCTTTTTAAAAAATGATATACCCCTTCAAAGCCACAATTGGACTTGAAAACTTAACATAATTTAAATGTAACACCTATTTATGTATTGATGGATTGTTATATGCATGCTTAGGATCCTCCCTGGAAGGTCACTAACCTGTGAGAGAATGCTGACAACTTGTTCAATAGTTCTCTCAACCTTGAAGTTTGGTGGAACAATGATTCCTCTCTTCAATCCAACCATTACATCTACCCGGCCCAATAATCGCCGACTCAGAACCTGAACCCGCATTCTTCTGAAATATTACAGTTTTAAGACGGACTTATATCATATATAATATTCGTAGATGAAGCACTAAATGTTAATTGTTTATTTACTTATGTAGATAAGTATTACTAATACTATACAATTTGAAGTGTTATTAAAAAATTACACCCTGTAATTTGTCTTTAAAAAATCTTGCGTTTCAATCAGAATTTTTTTTATCTTAATCTAAAAACCTTTGTAATCGCAGTATTTGGTCAGGAAAACATCAATTACAAGTCTGTTGAAATAAGTTACATAATCCATAAATTTAATTTATGATCTGTTCCAATCCGACCTTTAAATCTAGTTTAGTTAGGTTCCTTAACGCTCACCAGATTTCGAGTTTCTTTATAATAAATTTTACACTGCAAATACTTTCTTATTTAGTTTCACCTGACAAACTAGGACATTTTTAAAGATAAATGATACTAAGTAAATATGAATAAAATAAATACTAAGATTTTTTAAACTAAAAATTAAAATTTTTGATTTCGAAATGCATAAAATGAGCCCTAAATATGTTTCTGTCTCATTATCCCTCTAAACACGTCGTATCTAAAAAGTAAATGGTTAGAGAATTATTAGAATAATTATCTAAAAATAAAAATTAAAAAGTAGCAGTTTCTGTTTGTCTGTTTTTAATTTGTTTGTTTGGATTTGCCTCAAATGGTTGTTTTTGTAACTAACGGGAAGGTTAATAGTTGAATGAAAAGTTTAAAGTGGAGTAGGTTGTCTTGTATATGGTAAACTTTGTTTCCAGACAGAGCTGGGTTTCAAAGCTAGTGTTATATAAAGCTGTAATAAATGTATTTAAGTCCGTCCTCATGCGTGCCTTTAATTTTGCTGTACTATTGAAGCTTAACTGGGATATTTTTGATTTTTGATTTCGGATCGACAAAAAAACTTGCTTTTTTTGACGACCTAACATCAAGAAGCTATAAATCCTNCCCCCCCCCCCCAACATTGTAACTATTGACGAAAATTAAAGATATAATTACCTCTTTCAACATCTGTATCCCTGTAATACAGATTCCTCCAGCAACAGCTAGAGGTCGGGGCAGCAGCACTGACACAGCTAGCATAGACAACTGAAAGAGATATATATATGTTTTCTTATTGAATGGATTTTCTTAATATTATGAAAATACTTTCAACTAAAATCTCGCGAAATTTACTTTTTTTATCGATTTATTTCAAATTTTAAATCCACATTTTTTCTTGTCAATTTCTTAAAGTGTGTCCGGTCATTAACCTTTCCTTGGGTCAAGTGAGGAGGCCAAGAGATTTGGGCCTTAGTTGTTTAGCCATTTTTTGGATAGCAATAATTATATTATTATATAAATACATATACATATACATATACATATACATATACATATACATATACATATACATATACATATACATATACATATACATATACATATACATATACATATACATATACATATACATATACATATACATATACATATATATATACATATTTAATAATAATAATAATAATAATCTGGATTTTTACCTTAAGAATCTGTTCTGAGGCGGAGTAAACTTGATGCGAAAGAGCCCAACTATTCCTGGACCAAGAAGCAAAATGTTCACAGTTGTTTGTGACAACATTGTAAGCAGTGAAGGAGTGTCTATCCTCACCATTCACCACTTTCATCACTCTTTCAACAACTTAATAATTAAAGTTATGGTCAAGTGACAATTTAATTAGATGGTAGCTTAAAAAAAAAACCCACGATGGTAGCTCTTATATATTCTGATAAATAAAAGCTAGATATCGTCATTATTCTATCTAAAAAACCCACATTGATAGCCCTTAAATATTCTGATAAATAAAAGCTAGATATCGTCAATATTCTATCTAAAAACCCCCAGAATGGTAGCTCTTAATATTCTGATAAATAAAAGCTAGATATCGTCAATATGCTATCTAAAACCCCCACGATGGTAGCCCTTAAATATTCTGATAAATAAAAGCTAGATATCGTCAATATTCTATCTAAATTGAGATATATTCAAGTATGTTTTGGGCTTGTTTTAGCATAAACTTGTATAGAAAAACGAAAAAAAAAACATTCATAACATTAAGGACTATCAAAATTAAATAAAACGCCCTGTATAGTGGTGACGTAAAATCAATGGACTCTTAGAGAAGACTGTCCTATTCACAACGGTACCCCCAAACGATTAGTCAGCGTAAATCAACATTTTTAATTGGGGTTTCTCTATGAAGTGGCTTGCGCATTTCCGCTACAAAAAAAAAGAAAGAAATTGTCAGAAGATTCAGTAAAAGTAACTGTAGACGTAAAATCAAGTGACTCTCCGTTTTTATAGGTGCATGCCTGATTAACGCTTTGTCTCATCAAAAATGTAAAGAAATCAATAATTTTCTCTTTAAAAATCAATTATTTTCATTCTGGACTCTATAATTTTCTTTTTAGAGTTAAACACTTTTAAAGCAAGAACTACGACGATACCTTCCATATAATTAAAAAGATTTCAAGTATACCGATGTGAATCATTAAATTAAAGAAAACTACAAAAAGAACGACAGTGACAGTTCCTTTAAATAACGTGAAGAATAATACCTATTCTGGAGGGGAACGGAGTAACAGTATTATCCATACTGTTATTAATCCTAAGCAGACTCCGTCCCCAAACCTCTCTCAGGGGTTCAAGGCAAACATCTCCAATCCCAAAAGCTCCCTTACTCATACTCCTGGGAATATCTGTATCAGGCTTGATATACACATTATGTCCTTCTCCAAAAGACAATTTATGCTTTAAGGTTTAGATTCCTAATGTTGAGGTTTTTAAGACTAAGATTAGCTATAATGCTAGGGTGCCGAGCACCGCGAATTCTAAAATTGGGAGATTTTCAATTAGCAAATTGTTAAAGTATCTCTATCTGACAGCCTAACACTCGTCGTGTTAATACACACTAGACTTATGTCATTTATTAATAATTTCCGTTCTTAGGCAGCTATTTTTGATTAGTGCTAGGGCTAGATTTCTATGGAATGAAGGTTGCATTGCTTTTATTGTTGTCCTTGTCCTGGTCGTGGTCATAGTTAAGATCAAGATCGTGGTCGTGGTCGTTAATATTATTTGTATTATTTGTATTTATTATTTATTGTTATTAATTTATTAATTGATGCTAATATCATCATTATTATTATTATTATTATTAGCGTAATATGTGTACCTAAAGCTAGCACTAAACCCTCCCATTTTCTCCGGGTTGTCCGTAGGATTGGCTCTGTGCCCAATACAAGGTAACACCACCAACTAGATAAATATTTTAAAATTGTGATGGAAATTGTTCATCAAATACTTTAAAGCATTTGTTACAATATCTTCGATATCTTTTTCTTGTCTGTCTGTATATTTGTGTCCAATAGACGTCAAAACGACTGAACAGATCGAGCCCAAACTATTTGTGTCCACATACAGGGTGTCCCACGAAACATGACAGTTGGTAAATAGTTCAGAATGTCTTCTTCCATAATTTGTTATGTTGTTGGACACCGAAGGCAATAAGAAAAATATTATATGCGAGTCATATTATAGTAAAATTTATTTCAAAGTAAAATATTTTTGAGCAAAAGATTTTTTAACGAATTAAACTGCAAAAAGCCTTTAATACAGTGTATGGAAGACGATGTTCAAAACTATTTACCAACTGTCATGTTTCGTGGGACACCCTGTAGATGATTCAAGAAAGGTTTATGTTTTTTCTAGGAAATAATGTCAGCATAGAGAGAAATCCGCTAAAATTTGTTTTTATTGGAGATCGTTGAAAAAACAGCGACTAAAAAGCAACAGTTGAAAGCTAAATTTGCTACAAAATAGAGGCGCAAGCGTCCTTAAAACCTAGATACATTTTTATTTATGACAGCACATATTTTTACCCATTAGAAAAATATTTCAGTATATTTATTTATTTCCCTTACTGTTATTTTGATTTAATTTGAGAAATGATTTTTCTTGTTCTGACCTGATCATCAATATCCAGTATCTGTTCTCCCATATATATTCCCCAATGACAGTACTTGTCCCTCTTCATCTCCAACCTGTCCCCGACCCTCACCAGACGGAGGAATGCCCCGTAATCTTCTCTGAAATTAACGCATTTAACGCAATCAGTTTAATTTTTAAGTCTAAGCATTTTTACTTTTTGTTGTTAATAAAATACTAAAATATTGCATTTTTATAATGATAACATATTAAAACTTTAAAGCAAAGACCTTAAAATAATTCATATGTAAGCTAATCAATTATTTCATGATTATACTCTCTAAACTCTGTGAACTAATACCATAAAAGTGGACTTAGTCTTAAAAATTAACTGAGTTGGTTCAAACATTAACACTGCTATGATCGACAGCTCCCTGCTCATCAAAAAATTCTATTTAGACAAAAAACAAAGTTTAAATAAAAACGACTTTATCTATTTTATCCGTTTTAACTATTTTCTTAGCCATCAACCGTACTTCAATATAAAACCCCGTACCGTTGGTTAAACCATTCAGAGATGATTCCCTGATTAAACACCCTGGTATCATCTCCCTCTTCTCCTGTTACAACCATTCCTATCTGAAATATTAGTTTAAACCAATCCGGCACAGTTTCAACCTGGTTTACAGCAAATAAACAGAAAATAAAAATATTATAAATATTTACACATGAGATAACTGTTTGAGTTCACCTCGGTTTTTTAATACATTCGAAACATGAAGAAAAATTTTATAAAAAATATTGATCAAATTTTTCTCCGGCATTCATCAAAGTAATCTTTTCTGCATAGATTTGTGACAATTAACAGCATTGGTAAATGTAGTTTATATGTATTTTTAACAAAAAATAAAAAAATAAATACAGGTCCAGTCCCAGGTTTACCAGTCGCACAAGTCTGTTAAACGAATACTTAATTTACACGGTACAGCAAGATCTTTCTGTAGCGGATGAATATTATGTACGTTGTACATTGTACAGTGTACATGCAGTGGTTTAAAGGAATACATTTTTGGTAAGAGTTTTCACTGTTAAAGATATTTCACTGTCCACGGATTTTCGATTTAGTTTTTTAGTTCGGATTGATAATCATAGCTCAGATTTTTTATCTCTTCTTTTTTTCAGGGTTCAATCATAACCGAAGGTTTAGTTATGATCTCCTAGTTAACTTTCAGAATGAGTTCTAGTTTACAGGTGGAGAATGTCTTATTTGTTCAGATTAATCGAAGGGGCTAGTTAGTAGTCTGATCAACTATCCAGGGGATCAGACTAAATCCAAGGTTCGGAGAAAGTTCAGGTTCATGGGTTGGGAAAAGGTTTGAGAAAAAGATCTCTTATCACATTGTAGAAAAATGTCTCTTCTGGAGCTACGTTCTTCCTCGTTTCCGGGGAGGTTCATCTCCTGGTTCAGGGTGGTTTGCTCCGTTCTCCTCTTCTCCGTCCTCATCCCGAGATAGTATAATAGTTGTCTGGTGTCCAACTCCTCCAACCTTCCTCGAGTTCTTAACAATATTTAAGGTTAAAAAACCGTTTGGGCCCATTTTTAAAAAGGTTAAGACAACCTAGCATTGGGAAAGAAAAATATATTTATTCATAGAAAATTTCCATCCTTCAGCATTCTTTTGAACGTAATAAAAATACATAGATTCGAAATACATGGATATACAGTATACACAGTAGCTTTCGTAACTTGTTTCTTACACCAGAACCTTAACACAAACAAAACAAACAAAGCAATTGAGGCTTTGTTTTAAACTCCGATTTTCTAATCCCAATATCTATGCAACCCAATTTCGTTACGACCTTTATTATTGCATCTGTTTAAAATATCAAAGGTTTGCAAAGATATTGAGATTAGAAAATTTGAGTAAGTGGGAAAACCACGATTCCTTCGCTGATTCGTTCATGAACTGCAACTGGTTAAGAAAGTGTAAAAAAGGTTTGATTACGTTTAATTTCCTGTTTTGTCTGCAAATAACAACAATAGTGACCACTTTATAAAAGTGAACCCGACATGGAAACCCAGACCATTACAACTTACCGATATCTGTATCTCTGCAGGAACGTATAGATCCAGGTTCTGATATTTGGGATTCTCCGGGGCCTTGAAATAGTTGGGAGGAATCTTAGGCTCAGCAAGGAAGGATTTCCGCTCAAAGTTTGTTGATCTGAAAACAAACATTATTACAGTTACAAATGGGTCATTTCAACCCTCCTCCCCAGAATCTTACTTTCCCTCCTTAAAATAATATTTTTGATTTGAAACATATTTAGCGAGAAAAAATATTCTATTGTATCTATATGATTTGAATCCCAACAAAGAAACACTGAAGTTGCGCCTAGTAGAACTTTTTTTACCTGGTTGAGATGATTCCCATGGCAAGATCACAAACTGCGTACATCTTGAAATTTGTTGCTTCATCCTCTGGGTTCACAGCGTCACGGTGGTTCTTCATCTTCTGAATCATGTCCTGGTAGAACACGAAGGAATAGTTCTCGTTCTTTGTCATCAAGGGTTCCAGTACAAACCAGAGGGCTTGTCGAATACGCTTCAAATGCTCAACATCTTAAAAAAAAAAAATATAAAAATTCTCCCACCACCGAAGAAGAAATTTTTTTCTTATAATTTCGAAGTTAAACGAAAATACAAAAATCGATATAAAAACTTTGCAAAGTATTTATATCCAATTAACGTCAAAACGACTGAACTGATCGGACCCAAATTTGTCGTGGCAACTCACATGTCCCCAGAGTTGGTCAAAGATTATATTTTTGAAAATGCCAAGAGTAAAAAGAAAAATATGCGAAAATGGCGGCATGAGCCACAACGGTCAGCATCTAAAATTGTTACTAGAAAAGGGGCGCTAATCGCCCTGTGAGGCTAGTTACAAAAACTATTTTTGGAGAATTTCTATATTCCTGAAACCTATTAGAAACATGGAAATTAAATCATCCAACACAAGTTTGAGAAAAACAGTTAATTGAGCGAAATCATCATCATTTAAGTTCATATTCCCAAGACACTGTTACCTTGTGAAGAAGTAAAGTTTTCATCATGCGTTAGAACAGCAACAGCAAATACAAGCATATAATCAGGTAGGATATAGGTAAGATCTATTCCAGGTCGTTCCCCTACTCCTAGAATATAAAGTATATACCAGGGTAGGATATAGGTTAGACCTATTCCAGGTCGTTCCCCTGCACTACACTAGAATATAAAGTATATAAAGTATATACCAGGGAAGGATATGGGTTAGACCTACTCCGGTTAGCTCCCCTGCTCCTAGAATATAAAGTATATCAAGTATATACTAGGGTAGGATATAGGCTAGATCTACTCCGGGTAGCTCCCCTGCTCCTAGAATATAAAGTACACAAGCATATACTAGGGAAGGATATAGGTTAGATCTACTCCGGGTAGCTCCCTTGCTCCTAGAATATAAAGTACACTAGCATATACTAGGGTAGGATGTACTCCGGGTAGCTCCTCTGCTCCAAGAATATAAAGTACACTAGCATATACTAGGATAGGATGTACTCCGGGTAGCTCCCCTGCTCCTAGAATATAAAGTATACTAGCATATACTAGGGAAGGATATAGGTTAGATCTACTCCGGGTAGCTCCCCTGCTCCTAGAATATAAAGTACACTAGTATATACTAGAGGATATAGGTTAGATCTACTCCGGGTAGCTCCCCTGCTCCTAGAATATAAAGTACACTAGTATATACTAGGGTAGGATCTACTCCGGGTAGCTCCCCTGCTCCTAGAATATAAAGTACACTAGCATATACTAGGGTAGGATCTACTCCGGGTAGCTCCCCTGCTCCTAGAATATAAAGTACACTAGCATATACTAGGGAAGGATATAGGTTAGATCTACTCCGGGTAGCTCCCCTTCTGTTAATAACGAAATAATCGTGGTAAATCCTGAACGTGGAATCCCCAGACTGTACTGGGAATGTATATTTTGCATTCATAGATTTAGCAGGGAAAATATTGACGAGATGTAAATAAATATTTGTTTTCTTTAATTTTCTTAATTGGGTAAACTACAAAGGTTTTGATTTCTAACCTGACATTAAAAGAGTTTTTACATAATCTCTTCTCTTGTTTATATCATAGTTCATGTAGTTCTTCGCCAAGGCTCTTAGTTTCTTCTCAGGTTCAAGTCCTGAATATATGGGTTAGTTAGGTCTTATCATTCCAAGATTTCAGTCAGAATAAGATCTTTCAACTTGAAGCGGACCGGATCCGACCGGTGAAAAATGGACCAAGAAAATAAATCTTCCAAATATTTATTATGTCTAATATGGGAGCGGTGAGCAGGGATTTTGAGAGGCAAGGTGACGCAAGTTTTCTTCCTTCTTTCGGATTTTAATTTATTTCCCTTATTTGGTTGATGAACCTTTTGACACTTTTAATTTATCGAAGAAACTAGGTTAAACTAATTAAAATATGGATCAATAAGGAAATGTTATTAATGTTTGTTTGATTAGAGAAAACACTTACCCGCTAAAGCATAAATTCCCATGAAATCCAACGGAAGACATTTGTTTGGTATTCCTCTGTTTAATCCTTTGTGTAGTTTGTAAATAAACTTTTCTCGGACTGCTTGAACCGGATCCTGTGCTAGTTTAGAGAGATGATAGAACTGTTTAGCAGTGATCTGATCTCCTACTCCCTTTTGTTCACAGATCTTCAACATAGCACAGCCAGCACCCAGACGCAGCCAGGATTTCTCCGCAGGGTTGGGTTTCTTCTCCTCCAATAGGTCTCCTCCGCTCTCAATTACAGCTTTCAGCATCCGGAAGGTTTTCTGAGCTGTGACTTCATCAGTTTTCAAACCAAGGAGCCATCTTGACATCATCTTAAATCCTTCAAGTTTACACTGTGTTTCCAAACAAAGATCTTCCATGGGGCACCATTCCTCCGTCCCACCCCGTGGAGCTGTGTGATCTTTCATTACTAACTCTTTTACAATCTTTCTTGACACCAGATTTTTTATCTGAGCTGGAAATTTATCCGGTAGGTAAAAGGCTAGGTGACCCAGAGCAACTATAGCTGTCAGATACAACTTATTCTTCTCTCCGTTGAGGTTTTCCTTGATTTTCTCTAGTACTGCGGAGAAAACTTCCTCTATATTCTCGGTAGTGTTCAGATATAGGCACTTGATGGCCTGCTTTGCCTCCTTCGGAGTTCCTAGACCAATAAACTGGAGACAAATCTTTTTCAGTTTTTCATGCAAGTCCGGGAACTTTTCATTGATTGGTTTATGTTTTCCGATAAATGAGAGAATATTGAGAAGCAGAGGAGCTACAAACTCCTTAGTTGAAGAGAACAGAGTAAAGAAACTCTTTATTATATCCCTGGACACATAGTGGGTCGGGAACACGAAGCTTAGAACGAAGAGAAGGCGAAGTCCCTTCTCTCCAGCAGTATCAGGGTCCACGCCAAGCTCGTTTATAACATCACCGTCATTTAACGCTTCACCGACGACCTTCACAAGCGCACGGATCGATTCCTGATCAATCATGACAGAGGAGATACGCTCTAACAATTGCTTAACTGTGTTATAGTACAGATTGGTCATTATAGGAGAACCAAGCTTCTTTAGTATTAAAGTTGTGGCGTCATAGGAATCCTTACAGCTCACTCCAGGTTCACAAATCTTCTCCATTAGTTTCAGCATGGTCTCATCGGACGCCATGTGCTGGGAGAGTTTCTTGATAAACTCTAGACCCTTCACAGGTTCAGGTAGATGCTTGGAGATACTGTTGTTCTTCAGAGCAATCGCTTTGTTTCTTTCCTCGGACGGAGCAAGCTTCTGAAGAGCAATGAGCTCAGAAACTGATTTTCGAACCTAAACACAAAGTGTCAAATCTTATTTATCGGTTAGAAAATTTTAGAAGAAAATGTCCTTCAATAATTTGTAATATGGCAAACCTGCATCTGATGTTTTTGTATTTCTATAAATGCTTTACTGGCATTCTCGTCTATAGTAGCAAAGAGTAGGAAGAGTTTTTTCATCCTTTCCTCAGTATCCATATTGAAGGGAACAAGACGTGTGTTGAGTAACCGTTCTACGAGTAACCTATCCTCTATCCCTGGCATATAGTATCCATGGAGGATCTTATCCTTGATCCACTTCACAGCGTTCTTGGTGGCCTCTGGCACACCGTTAGGATTAGACAGGTGTTTAAAGTAGATCATTGCTAGCCCAGCCATTGCCTCCTTACGTATCTTAAACTTCTTGTCCAGAGTTCTCTCCTGGTTCATCATTTTTTAAATCAAAATCTCAAAGACCCAATGTCTTAAATCAAAATCATTAAACGCTTGTCTACTTGTTTATAACTCTCTTGTAAGGCCTCATATTGAATATGGAATTATCACTCGGGGAGGGGTTAAAAACTCTAAACTGTGTGTAGGGGTGTGTATTTTCAAGAAAAGTTAATCTAGGATCTATAACAAAATAAATCTTATTAAAAAAGAATTCCTTGACAAAGTTGAGAAGATCCTCAGATCTGGAAACCACATCGAAATCTTTCTTAGCTGTCGTCACGATGGCAATCACAACTTCATATCGAACCGATTCCTCGGAGTCGTGTTGTCGAGCTTTCAGGGTTTCCGTGATATCATCTATCAGCTCTGGATGGTTGGTTAGAAAGTGCATGGTGTACTGAACACACTTGGTTCTGATCCCTACACTGATATCGTTAAACCGTCCAAGGAAAGCCTGCCATAGAGCCCTGTGTCTACTTGCCAAGGTGGAACCTAGCTCACTAAACATCCTCGCAAGCAGAGATACACTTCCCATCCTCTCCATCTCATCTGTAGACTTGAGTTTGAACTCAAGCTGGGGAAGAACTGCTAGGAGTACACTCGGACAGATATGATTTAACTCATAAATCAGTTCGTAACCCTTGTTTCTAATATTCAGTTTATCATCAGTTTTCCCCAGAATTAGAACATGGTTGAAGAACTGCTGAATATAAGGTTCTAGAGCATCACTAGTCTTGTTCACCAGTTCCTTTGCCAAATCATACGCGTACTTTCTCTGGGTCTTCACGGGCTCCACTATGTTCAGGAGTATAATGTCCAGCAACTCGTTGGAGATAAAATCCGACTCTGTGACCAGGGGACATAGTACATCAAGGATAAAACTTTTCACTTTCCCTGAATGTTCATCATTGACAATTTTGAACATGAGTGTGAACAAGGCGACACAGATCTCGTTAAAATCATCCAGATCAAAGCACATATTGAAGGACTTGGCGAAGGCCAGGTTCTCCAGGAGATAAAAATATCTCTTAAATGCAGGATCCTGGAGATTAAATATTCGTCTTTTATTATAAAATTATTGTTATTTAATTATAAAGCAGTGGCATTATTTACTAAAGGGGGAAACAATACTTTTAGAAAAACTAAAAAAAAAGAGAATATTTCCTTTGGATCTCTGAGTCCTCCAAGCTGACGAATGAGGAAGAGGAAAATTGTTTTAATCTGTTGAGGTTCCTTGTATGGAGCATCAGGAGCAAATATCCGGAGAATGTCTGCGATACAGCACGCAACCAACAACTGAACGTCCCTACATTTAAATACATACAATTAATATCTAATGAAAAATTCCAATATTACTGCATTTAATCCGTTCCATTAGGATGAAGATACAGATTAGAATCCGTTCTCTTTAAGAAGAGGTCGAACCAAAAAAATAATTAGATCATCAAAAATAGATCGTGTATTTGAGTAGACTTTTAGCCATTAGGGCCTAAAAACAAAAGAATTTGATTCGATGGGATTAAAATATACCTGGAAGGATTGTTTATGAAGTATTCATCTGTAATATGTAGTGCTAGAGGAGTGTAGGCATTGTGAGTGGTTTCGTCGTCTGATTGCATCATTTGCTGAATAGATAGAACAATATATATTACACTATTACAGATTACACATTTAAAGATGTGTAATTCAGACAAATTTAGTCGTTCATAGCTTTTGGGGAGTTTTATTTTTAAACTAATACTAAGTGCTAACTGAAAAAGCTTTTATCTTCAAAAAATCGTTATATTCACATAATCCAGACTCAGTGATTGGTCCCTTGTACATCATAGAGATCTACACATTATTCCACTGCCAATGGACCAGAATTATCCTATCAATGCACACAAATTCTTGACCACTATCATGTTGAAGAAACGCACAAAATATTTAATTATGGATGTACAAAAAATGGTTCATAACTGTGGTTAAAATAAACATATCATCAAGTCTTAGGTTGATACGTTGATAGTTTCTCCGCCAAGGTGCTGCATCATGCAAGAATGAAGCGGCGGGTCAGGCCATTATTTATTCTTCTGGATCCATGGCTGCATTTCTATGATTGCTCATTATAACTGTTTATAAAGGCATATATGGCCATGGACCCCTTTACTGAAAGGGTTTCGAAAATAATTATCTACAGCGAGGAACATCATTAAATGAACGTGAAATTCATGTATTGTTTCAAGGTTAGGTTACGAATATTGCTCGGCCGAGCACCGCGGCTTTAAGTAGTCCTCGACCATGTATTTTTTTAATAAAGGGGGGGGGTCCAAAATCCTTTTCTAATTAAAGTTACGAGCCAGGGAGCCAAGTTCAGAAAAATCAGTTGAAATATAAACCTGAAATGAGCTAGCGAGTTGTTTGAGCCGGCGAACCAGTTCATCAGCTCCAATATCATCGTTTATCTGAACACAAAAATGAAAATTAAGATTTACATTTTATATAAAACTTAGTCAAAAAGTTCACAAGGACTAAACTTGAAATTAAAAAATAGTTGTTTGAATGTTAAAACTCTTTCTTTCAAACTTTTTATTGAAACAATAAAGGTACAGATCTGAGAAAATTGTGTAATAATGATAAAAAACACACGAATATTCATTTATATATATATATACAAAAATGCTTCTCGCAGTTTACTCTCTAATTTAAGGTATGGAATTTAAACTAGTAAAGACTTGACAACTCTGAGATCTGGAATAAGATCCTACATGAAATGAAAAAGGATCTCTCTTTTTGAATATAATAGAAAATAGAAAAAGACTTCTCGTCTAGGGTAAAAAAAAAAAATAAAAAAAAAGACTTCTCGTCTAACGTTAAAACAGAATCAAGATACAATAGCCCTACAAAAAATAGTCTTACCTCTTTACACCCTGGAGGGTAAGTTAGGGTTACCAACGACATTTGGAAGTTTCGATTCGTTACTTACATTTATAATGTCAATCTGAAATTAAAAATAATGCATTTCTTGTGCCAAGGTAATCAGCTTCAAATTCAAGGTAATGCTACTTTTGCCCCACAGCATTTCCGTCCTACAGTACTTCCGTCCTACGATACTTCGGACCTACGCAACATCGGACCTAAGACAGCTGTAGGCCGGATGTACATTCTATTTTGTTCATCCGACCTTAGCAGGAACTGCAGATATTTTCAGAATGTATTTGACAGTGCTACCGGAAGGATCAATGTTCCGGATCCGGTTCCACACAAATTTAAGTAGGTTAGATGCACACTTTTAGTAAATTGGATGCACAACTTAAATAAGTCGGATGCACAACTTTAGCAGCTGTCAGATGCACAACTTTAGTAGGTCGGATCTACAACTTTAGAAGGTCGGATGCACAACTTTTGTTGGTCGGATTTTCAAAAATGACCAAGTGGGGTTATGGGTGACATGGAAACGCCTCAACACGGAAAGGAAACGCCTCAACACGGAAATGTCTCAAAAAACGGACTCATAAAACTAATTTAATGTCGTCTTCTAACATTAAACAAATTTAACAATTATTTTACCATTAATTTAGGGTAAGTTAGGTTGCGCCGCAGGCTACGAAGGGGGCCGAGCGCTGTGGCTAGGATAGCTATAAGGGGGCCGAGCGCTGAGACTAGGACAGGCTAGGGGGCCGTGCGCTATACGGCTAGAACAGGCTAGGAGACCGAGCGCTGCGGCCATGGCTGTGAAAATCAGTAGAATATAGTCTTTTTAATTTTAAGTTGAGAGAAGACGACATTAAATTAATTTTATGATTCTGTTTTTTTGAGGCATTTCCGTGTTGAGTCGTTTCCGTGTTGAGGCGTTTCCATGTCACCCAAATTATTGTCTTAACCTAACCTAACCCTAAAATAATAATAAATTTGCTGAAAATGAGTGATCATGTACAAAATTGATAGGAGGGGGGTCCAAAAATCGTTCTCTAGGACGGACCCGACAATTCCTTAGTCTTTGTCATTGTCAAGTGTTACTTGGGCTCAGCTTGAGAAGCACGGATCGACCATCCAAAAATCTAAACATGTAGTGGACGTAGTATGAAAACATTGTAAGCAATTCTCTCCTTAATAGACTTCAACTACCGCCGCTCTCCTGAATTGAATTGCTGAGGTGAATCAAATCCCTCTGAAAACTACGCGAAAACTGTGTGAAATTATCAATAAACGCTTGTATCCAGCAGTCAATTTCAACTTTTTACTAATTACATGAAAACAGCTAAGAAATTCCGTCCTCCTCTTGCAAACGCCTTTAAGACATTGACAAAAAGTTTGTTTCTTTTTCCACTGAATTGATTGCGAAGTCAAAATTGGCTACTTATTTGAATAAAAAATATGACATCATCAATGATTTATGGCGACACGTCTGTTTGTTGTAACTAAGATGGCAACTCGCCTAATTTAATAAATTGGGACACGCATACATAATTTAGTTAAATATTTATGGCGACCCGCCTTTTGATGTAACATATGCTAACCTGGCGACACGACGTCTACTTTTTTATTAACTATTTGTAAAGGCGACACGCCTGGATCTTTGCTATCGTCAGTCATTAAAATAAATTCCGCCCTCCTCTTGCAAACGCTTATTAGATACTGACAATATGCAATTTGTTTCTTTTCCCACTGAATTAATTGCGAAGTCAAGTTTAGCTAAAGAATTCGTATAAACTTAACATTTATCTGCGCGAAGAAATGAAATGTTGCCGCTGATGTTTTTTATGGAGGCGCCAAATATATTATAAGACGACCTTTAGAAATTAAAACTTAAAAATCGCGACCCTTTTAATTTTGTTTAAAGAGTTTATTGAACTTAACTTTAAGTTCAATATTCAAAATAAAATCGGTACTTATGCAGTACACCATGTAGTATTTTCTACAATGGTTGCCTTTTTAATTGATCAAAAATTATGATGGATAATTCGACATAGCAAAAAAATATCCCAAATTTTCATCGTAACTCGGCTTTTAAATTTTATTTATTTGCAATTAATGTTATACATAATTTTATAACGTCTCAAGATTATACATAACTCTATTGAGATTCATTTTATAATTTAAAGAAAATTCTTATGTTTTCAAAAGTTTTTAAATTTCATCGGATAAATTTTCTTATAAAGGTATATTTTCTAAATTAAATTAAAAGTTTTTATTCTAAAACTTATCTGTAAACATGTCGTAATTATATAAAATTGGTAATACATACTTAAAATACTTATTAATTATGCAATTACATCCGAAAATGACTATGTAACAATTGGATCAGATTTTAAAAAATAATTTCTAAAATAAGCTGATAGTTATAATTTGACGGTTTTATGCAAATGTAATTCGAGACTTATTAATGAAAATTAAATTTGTTTATGGTAAAAGACGACTCTTTGTTTAAGGGCAAATACCGCGTTTCTTTCAAAGTTTTCTTAAACTTACAAACATAATAATCAAAAACCTGTTATCAGAATCAGATTTTCCATATCACTGAATCTGGTCGCGTTGACGTATTGCTGAGCTATGGACGTCCTTCCAGTTGAAGTATTGGAAAAAATATTGTGCTTCAGTAATCTTGATTACCACGATATTGTTAACATATCTCTTACGTCAACAAGGTATATAATGTTATTTTTCTTAACGTAAGATTCAATAAATTTTGTTTTATCTTAAGATTTATAAGAAGCAGCCAATGCTGACAGGAATTTTCCAGGGGTGAGAGCCAGTGCTCCATTGCTCACCCCTGTATAGTGTATTCGCCCTTGTTAATGAATGTCTAAACTTATTCCCATTTGAAAAGTCAGTCGTAGATTAATCTCTTAAGTATGACTGAAACTGAAAACAAACTGAAAAAGATGAGATGAAAGAGAAGAAAAACTGAAATTTTTTAAATGGGATGAAAGAGAAGAAAGTCCTTTGTAAGAGCGCATGTGTGAAAAAAATATCGAGGAATATTAGATTCACAAGAAAAGAATATATTGCATAACTTTAAATTAAATAAATGGTTTAACCCAATCCCTGCTCAGGTACTTGAAAACCAGGATATGCAGGGGGGGGGGTCAATCTGCCCCCCCCTCTAAATCTCATGTTTTATGTTTAAATATGTCAAATGATACATCATTAGAAAGCTCTTAGGCTCTACTTTTAGAATCTGCAAAAAATGCAAATTTGCCAAAAATGATTATTTTTTTTCTTCAAAATCTAGTTAAGTAGTAAAAATTCAGCTAAAAAATGTCAAAAATGGATAAAATATACATTTTGAAAATCTCTTGACCACGCTAATTTAAATATGCAAAAAAATGTTGCAAAATTTTTAATAACCTGATGTGTAAGTAAGAAAAATTAATCATGTGCAAAATTCTTTTGACATATTGTATGCAAATAATTTGCAAATATTTCTTTGCAAAATTTGTGCAATCCGTTTCCTTACGACACAGGTTTTTCAAAATTGTGTCAGATTTAGTTTTTTACAGGAGAAAGTATTCAGGCAGTATGCCTGAGGACTCAGGCAGTTAGTTAAAAGCCCAGTTTTATACCCAAAGAGAGGGCTATGGGCATTTAGGAAAAGTCAGAAAATTTCAGCAGCAGCAGGAACAGGGTTAAAAACCTGACTGTGAAAGCCAAAATCAAAGCCCATTAAATAATATCAGCAAGTTGAGTTTATAGTAAGTTAGATTTAAATTAATACTAAATTTCTTTGAAATAAGGGTCTTGGAATGAAATTTGGTTTTAATTGTATTATAACTAGCTCCCTGGTCTCTTTAATTATTTAATCAAAGGCCCTTGAAACTTAAATAAAGATGTTATGAAGAATATTGTATCATATCAGTTTTTGGCATTACCTTAACATCATAGTTTTAGCTGGTTTTTTAAAAAGTTTTCTTTCTATAATAATAAAGTTTATGCACAATTTTATTTAGGCTGTGTAATATATCCAACAGTAATGAAGTGTGGAGAGCTTTATTTAGAAGACGTTACCCCCTGCTCTACAATAAAATTATCAACCACACTCAAGCTGGAGATTTGAACTGGAAATCACATTTTGAAAACAGATTCAAACTAGGAAATCTATCCTTGTTATTCTTTTCCGTTTCAAGAATTAGCTTTTTATTTCAGATTTTGTATTTTCATGCTAAATTAGAAGATGTTCGTTTTGGCATCTTAATGAATATATTTATTTTTGAATAAATACTGATTTATTATTATTTTGTTTGAGAATAGATTAAATAGGATTAATCCTGGACAAAGAGATTCTAGACATGTCACCAAAGTTCTATAATCTTGCTGAACTCTCCTCGTTGGACTTCAAGTCTTTTGACAATCTACTACTCGAGCACAACCCTGAGACAAGTTTCCATCATCTCTATACACTAGATCATCTCAATTTATCTCTTCAAGAAAACAAACCTTGGGAAAACCTAACATACAAGGAAAAGTTAGAATTAATAAAACTTTGCTGATCAAATGAGAAATTTTTGTTACAAGGTTAGAGTTTCTGTTTCATACTGGATGCATGAAATACTTGTTATATATAAATCTAAACTTTTTTTCAGTTCTACTGCAGAAAAGCATTAATACACATACAACATCGTATTCTCACTCCAAAGGTTAACAATTTTTTCTCTCGATGCTGTACTCAAGATACTCTTAGGAAATTAAAGATCTAAACCTTTAGATATGAATTATAGAATTGAGAGAAGGTCATGGATATTCGAAATTAAAAATGGAAAAAAATGTTGACACACAATTTTTTAAAATCCATTAACAAAAACAAAAAATCCGCGAAAATTTTAGTATTTTTAAAGTACAAAGGAAAAATTGTGGCTTAAAAATCCATTTAAAGACAAATTTGTTACCAGAAAAATAGGAAAGCGCCCTGAAAGCATATTTAAGTTTTAAAAACATTTTAACTCCTTTAATTAAAATTGTTTTCGAACACTGGCTATACTAGCAATGGTAGCTTGGGGATGCCACAATTATCTTATTTTTAATTAAATTTAGAATGTTTAATATCAGTGAAGTGAACGAAGAGGAATTAAAGGATTATGAGACAGCACTGATATTAATTGCACAATGGTGTCAACCTGATCAATGTGTAGATGAGCATACAGTTCTCTCTGAGCTTGATGATCTGGCTCAACGTGTATTTAATAAACTGGTCGCTGATCAGACAATTGATCCTTCGAAGATTAGAACTCCTGCGGAACTCAAGAAAATGGAGAAAAGTACAAGTTTATGTCGAAGTATTCTCGATTGTGCAAATCAGCAACTGAAGAATGAAGGATTCGCCGGGAACTCTGAAAACTATTATGTTCCTGAGAACTCATTTATCAACAAGGTTCTGGAGACAAAGTTGGGTATTCCAATTTCCCTGAGTCTGATGTACACTTCTGTCCTGGCTAGACTAGGGATTCTGTGTGAACCTGTTAACTTCCCTCGACACTTCCTGTTAAGGTGGTTGGAGCACCCGGAACTAGCTGATAAAGGTGCTCAGTTTACTTACATTGATGTGTTCCATGCTGGAAAGCGGATGAATAAGCAGCAGGTGTTAAATACGCTTGGACATGACTATATTTTCGATCAAGATACATTAAGAATCGCTACTCCACTTCAAGCAGCACATAGACTGATCAAGAATCTTATTTCAATCGGTATTATTAATTTTCATTTTTTAACCCTGTAAAGATTGAACTAACAATGGGGGGGGGGGTAAAAAGCACAACTTAAAGTTCTAGGATGCGATTTAGACGTAGTAGTAAGTGACTCAACTTATAAAGGTACTCTTAAAAGCTTTGTCTGAACAAGAATGCATCAGATATATATCATATTCTCAATGAAAACTGATTTTTTTTTTTAAATATAGTTTCTCTGCTTAGTGCCTTTACATTTATTCTCTTAAGAACTACGAGACCTTCCACATTATTTTATCAGATTAAATAGCATCTTTGTAAACCAGACATGCTCTTCTTAAAATGCAAGGCCACTTAAAATCACTATGACAGTCCCTTTAAATATATCATTTATCTCAGGCGCCTCTGAAAACAATTTAAAGGATTCTAGTTTCTCTCTTTTGATGTCTGCCTTGAAACTGATGGTTTTACTGAACACGGAGCAGGTTCCAGATTTCGTCTTCATGCTCAGCAGAGTTTACCTGCAGCTTAATATCAATCATGAGGTAAATTAATCCTCGGTTGCTGAAAGTTAAAGAACAGTTAGACAAATTTAGGATCGAAAAATGTCTGGAGAGTGAACTGTTCACAAATCGGGTTTTAGTCCCTTTGAAAAAAATTATAATTCGTTATGTTTAAATGAACAAATTAAAAAGTCATTATTAACACAAGGTCAATATCACAACCTAACTCTATATTATTATGATTTTTGTTGTAAAAAATACTTAAAAATTGAAAGAGGGAAGGGTTTAAAAATAAAAAATTAATGCAATTTAACAAATTCAAGTTTATTTTATGCCCTTTGAACGTTGGTCCAAACGAATATTAGCTTAATCGATCATTAGTCCTATTGATATCCGGTTATTCCTATTTCACATAGCTGCGACCCCTCTGTAATAATACAATAATATAGGAGACTACTACACTGCTCAGCAGATTTTCAGGAGATCAATATCTTTCCGAGCAGGTTCGATACCTGCTCACTACTTGTCAGGTAAAAAAGTTATTCTATATTTCAAGTTTTACAAATATTAACGTTCAAAATGTCGAACGAATGAGCCAATCTTTTTTCCATCCACTCTATTATCTCATTGACCGCATTTAGCTTCTCCCTCTGGTCGATTAGAAGTAAAACTAAGTAACTTTGACGCGTTTATCGAAAATTACATTTTGGGACAGTGTTCATTTCTTCAGAAGAATAGATAATATACCTCTCCTATAAAAAACTCTGAACCATATTTGAGGCCATTTTTAGAATTCCTCTCATGGTTTATTAAGTACAAACAATTTTTTGTCCTTAAAGTAATAAAACTTAAATTTTAGATGCAGAAAGTTGAGAAGGATTTAGAAACTAACGATATTATTCCTAAGGAAACTGAAAGATTTGAGGAATCTAGGTTCATGCTCTTTAATAACTTCTAAAAAAAAATAAGAAATTTGCTTATTAAAAACTTTCTCAGTATCCTTTCAATTTAAGTAGAAGAGGGATCCAGAAGGTAACAATATCAGGTAAAATTCTTAAAAATAAATGCAAATTTCAATATTTTATTAAAATCATGTGATCTCGAAGATCCTATTAAAACAGTAGCTTTCTCTATTTTTTTATGTTTATCAAATAAAAATTGATGAAAAATGGATTTGCAAGGGAAAAAAATCATTTTTAGAGCCAAATATATATCAGAAGATGCTTTCTCCCCCCCACCCCCATGTTAAAAAAGTAAACAGATGGGTCAACCTGCTAAACAATCCAGAGATGATTTCAAGGATGTACAAGGATTGGAAGATTTAAGCCTCAAAAACTTTCCAGAAGAAATTTCTGCGCGTGTTTTATTTATACTTTAAAGCCCATAGAATACATTATCAAGGAGTTCCATTTTTTAGGCATTTTCTGGGTGTTACTATTTACTTAATTTCAAGTTTTAAAAAAAGTTTATATTAAACTTTTTAAACTTTAGGTACAAAGTGGGAAATGTAATGAAGCATAAGAAGTATGATTACAAGTGCGTTATCTATGGCTGGGACGATCACTGCTCAGCTTCGACGGTGAGTCATAGATTTATTTCACATTTAATTACTTAATTAAATTTTTCCAGTCGTAAACTTGAAATATAATTGAAAGGACTGAATATGTAAACCCCCAAATTGTAGAATTCTATGTCCGATTCACCACGGCACCGTTAAACCCTTCGATGTTATGTTATATATATATATATATATTTCAGTTTTTAACTTCACATTTTTATTAAAAAAAGAATTATACTAAACATAATGTTTCACGTCTATCATGACGATCCTCAGTAGCTACAATTCTTTGAACAATATATATATACATATATATATTTAATAAATATCATTACTCATTTTTCGGGGAGCAAGAGAAAATAAGTATTTTTAATGAGTTTTTAAAAACCGCCTTCGACAGGATATTTGGGAATTTGCCATCGAATATCAAACATTCTAGAAATGGAGGGTGTATGTTTTTTTTTTGCTTGAATCGTATTTTCTAACTTCCTCATTGTTCCTCGGATATAGGAAAGGCACAATTGTGAATTGGACATGCCAGTAAAAAAAATGACAACCTCCCAATGTCACTGATACCAATATACCTCAAGTTTGACCAGTGCTGAAAATTTTAGAATGAAATACCCTTAATCCCTATCGGTTAATTATTTTGGAGATTGATTACAAGAGAGGAACTAGCATTATTTAATCCCGAGATTAAGAAAAAGAGTGGATCTGGCATTAATCCCGATATCCACCATTCAAAAGTTTCCAGCTCATCAATTATTATTTGAATTTTTTAAAACTAAAATTTATGTTTACTCGGGTTATTGATCCCCTCATCTTTTTCTATTAGTTAGAAGAGTTAGATTGGTTGTTTTTAATACAAAGGGAGGTCTGTACACTTTACATTGTTCAATAGTAGAATATTTCGGAACAACACTGCCTAACCCCATGCGTGAAACCCGGGGTTTAAAACTGGTTTTTATAACGATATTCCGTATTAAGTTTTGACTTCTTAACTTTACCAGAAAGAAAAAAGTTGACTTAGAGTGCCAGTCTGAGATTAAGCAAAAAAACTTTTTTTTCGTGCATAATTTTTAGTATTTTCAAGGTTATAAGATTCAGTACATGTAGACCTTAATATTGTGAATTTTTTAGAGTTTCTGTTCTTCTTCAGTCTCTTTGCTTTCATTGATTGTATACAAAGAGAATAGAAAATATATTGGAGTTGAATTTACTTGAAAAAAGTGTAAAACGGCCATTTTATTGTACTGTTTCCATACTGCAGGTGTACTTCACATATTTGAGCTATATAACCTTTTGGGCCCTGGAACATTATTTTATAGAAAATCAAAAACAATATTAAAAGAAAACCAAATTATGAAATAGGCTGGGTTCATAATTAACCAATGATCATTTCACATAGACTCTATGCCTTCACTTTACAAACGATGATTTTCCGTTATAACTATAAATCAAATGATGTTTTTATTCACCTAATTCACTTTATAAAGTTAATTTAACAGCTTTAAAAAATTCGAAATTGAAATGGATAGTCTAGGGAACATACTGTAATAATGTACTCTACTGCATATAATTTGTGAACATTTACATGATTTGTACACTTTGAACTCCCTTTCAGGCCGAAAGGGACTGAACATATTCATACCGAGGGACTAATTAAATTCCACTCTATTATATATTATATTCTCTTTGATTGTATAAGAATACTCTTTTTTTTTCTTACCTAATCCTTAGTGTTTGGTTTTAGAGTTGGATAAAGCAGATGGGAGTTGACAAACTTTCCAGACAGGATAAACAACCTTTCTTTAACGTCCTGGTGGAGGACGGATCCAGTAGGTAGGACGGAAACTAGATCCTTGATGAGTCCCAACTATATATGTTTACATACCTAGATATGCTGCTGATGAGAACCTTGAACCCTGCACTCCTACACCAATTCATCATCCACATATTGGAAAATATTTTAAGGTATTTCAACTTATTTATATCCTATGATAGTTTTTATTCTAAATATTGAATATACGTAGGACCAATTTCATGAATAGAATTTAGATTATTGAGTTTAGCTTGCAACCCTTGCAATCTGTGTTGTTTTGACACATGGAATATCACACTAGTACATATATGTCTTGATTGTGCAACTCTGAAATGTTTCTTTACCTTTGCTAGCAAGAGCCTCGTGATGTCATATATTTTTTCAACTTTATATTGGTAAAGGGGGGAGAAAAAGTACAAGAAAGACTAGAATGTCGAATTAGTGTTCTTTTCGAAAATCCAAAAGTCTAAAAAAGTTGTATGTTGGTTGAGTTCATGAATATCTATTACAGGAGTTTTGCCCAGAGAGAGGTTACATCCCGAATACAGAGAAAATGAAAGAATACCCAGACGACTTTTCCTAGAAGTTCTTACGGAAGAACACATCCAAACATTGTAGTAAACAAATATTTTCCATAAATTTTATCTTTTTATTAATTCTTGTTATCGAAGATTGTCTTTGGAGGTTCTTAATTTTTAAGATAATTCCTTAATCCTAACTGTAAATAAAAATTGTAGTACAATATGGTTTAAAACTAAATACAATTGATTCAGATAATCTTTATTTTGAACTATAACTGGCTCTGGCTCGGCGCTTCTAAAAAAA